CTTCTTGGGCCGTTATGGTGCTTGGGCCGTCTTCTGCGTTCTCATAGGGGCATGCTGCGTCACCTTGCCACGGTCTCTATGACCTCGCGGTCCGTCTTGGAGCGTCGGAAGCTCGAGGGGGCGAGGGCCCCATCACCTTTTTGACGCTTCGCTTGCCCCAACCAACCCATCTAGAAACGACCAGCACGGGAGCGGGTAAATCAGGAACTGCTGGACGCATGCAGTTGCGCGGCCGTATTCAGCAAAAATAAGGGCCACAACTGGCTCCCAAATTGAAGTTTAAGATGAAAGTCAATGCACCAAGCCGTCCCGCTCGACCCCCTCTCCATTTGAATCCGTCGTAAGATCAGGTGGTCTATTCTATGGTGGTCCCTTCGTACATGTGCTCAACCCCCTCCCCACATCCCGCGAAGCCGCCGCGGATGCAAGTGTTTCGATTGTATGCGGCACGAGGGGTGTGATGATGAGGGGGGGAGCGGAAAGGAGGTCGGAAGAAAAGGACACTGACAAGAAGGATGAGCAATCCAAGTTTGGGCGCATATTCTTGCGAGGTGTTAATGGGGAGCGCTTGGGGCCATATTACGGATTTTCTCGCGCTCCCCGTGGGGCTCTGTTGGGGCTCTCTTGGGGATCTCGTGGGGCTCTCTTGAGGCTCTCTTTTTTTTTTTCCCAACCATCCTGTGGTGTTGGGTCCTCGTTTTGAAGAGACGGTGCCCGCGTCCTCTCCTCTCCTCCTCTTCCCCCTCCTCCCTCCTCCCCCTCCTTGCCTCTGCTCTCGGCACACCTCTCACGCGTTTCGTAGCCCCATAGGGAGCTCCACCGAAGGCCCCCGTGGGGGTGTCCACATGCGGTTCCCCCACCCAGGGCAGCGTTTCGTGGCCCCATAGGGAGCTCCACCGAAGGCCCCAGTGGGGGTGTCCCCCACACCCCCAAACAAATTGGCGGTTCCCCCACCCAGGGCAGCGTTTCGTAGCCCCATAGGGAGCTCCACCGAAGGCCCCAGTGGGGGTGTTCGCATGCGGTTCCCCCACCCAGGGCAGCGTTTCGTGTCCCCATAGGGAGCTCCACCGAAGGCCCCAGTGGGGGTGTTCGCATGCGGTTCCCCCACCCAGGGCAGCGTTTCGTGGCCCCATAGGGAGCTCCACCGAAGGCCCCAGTGGGGGTGTCCACATGCGGTTCCCCCACCCAGGGCAGCGCTTCGTAGCCCCATAGGGAGCTCCACCGAAGGCCCCAGTGGGGGGGTCCACATGCGGTTCCCCCACCCAGGGCAGCGTTTCGTGGCCCCATAGGGAGCTCCACCGAAGGCCCCAGTGGGGGTGTCCACATGCGGTTCCCCCACCCAGGGCAGCGTTTCGTGGCCCCATAGGGAGCTCCACCGAAGGCCTCAGTGGGGGTGTCCACATGCGGTTCCCCCACCCAGGGCAGCGTTTCGTGGCCCCATAGGGAGCTCCACCGAAGGCCCCAGTGGGGGTGTCCACATGCGGTTCCCCCACCCAGGGCAGCGTTTCGTGGCCCCATAGGGAGCTCCACCGAAGGCCCCAGTGGGGGTGTCCACATGCGTTTCCCCCACCCAGGGCAGCGTTTCGTGGCCCCATAGGGAGCTCCACCGAAGGCCCCAGTGGGGGTGTCCACATGCGGTTCCCCCACCCAGGGCAGCGTTTCGTGGCCCCATAGGGAGCTCCACCGAAGGCCCCAGTGGGGGTGTCCACATGCGGTTCCCCCACCCAGGGCAGCGTTTCGTGGCCCCATAGGGAGCTCCACCGAAGGCCCCAGTGGGGGTGTCCACATGCGGTTCCCCCACCCAGGGCAGCGTTTCGTGGCCCCATAGGGAGCTCCACCGAAGGCCCCAGTGGGGGTGTTCGCATGCGGTTCCCCCACCCAGGGCAGCGTTTCGTGGTCCCATAGGGAGCTCCACCGAAGGCCCCAGTGGGGGTGTTCGCATGCGGTTCCCCCACCCAGGGCAGCGTTTCGTGGCCCCTTAGGGAGCTCCACCGAAGGCCCCAGTGGGGGTGTTCGCATGCGGTTCCCCCACCCAGGGCAGCGTTTCGTAGCCCCATAGGGAGATCCACCGAAGGCCCCAGTGGGGGTGTTCGCATGCGGTTCCCCCACCCAGGGCAGCGTTTCGTGGCCCCATAGGGAGCTCCACCGAAGGCCCCAGTGGGGGTGTCCACATGCGGTTCCCCCACACAGGGCAGCGTTTCGTGGCCCCATAGGGAGCTCCACCGAAGGCCCCAGTGGGGGTGTCCACATGCGGTTCCCCCACCCAGGGCAGCGTTTCGTGGCCCCATAGGGAGCTCCACCGAAGGCCCCAGTGGGGGTGTCCACAAGCGGTTCCCCCACCCAGGGCAGCGTTTCGTGGCCCCATAGGGAGCTCCACCGAAGGCCCCAGTGGGGGTGTCCACATGCGGTTCCCCCACCCAGGGCAGCGTTTCGTGGCCCCATAGGGAGCTCCACCGAAGGCCCAGTGGGGGTGTCCACATGCGGTTCCCCCACCCAGGGCAGCGTTTCGTGGCCCCATAGGGAGCTCCACCGAAGGCCCCAGTGGGGGTGTTCGCATGCGGTTCCCCCACCCAGGGCAGCGTTTCGTAGCCCCATAGGGAGCTCCACCGAAGGCCCCAGTGGGGGTGTTCGCATGCGGTTCCCCCACCCAGGGCAGCGTTTCGTGGCCCCATAGGGAGCTCCACCGAAGGCCCCAGTGGGGGTGTTCGCATGCGGTTCCCCCACCCAGGGCAGCGTTTCGTGGCCCCATAGGGAGCTCCACCGAAGGCCCCAGTGGGGGTGTTCGCATGCGGTTCCCCCACCCAGGGCAGCGTTTCGTAGCCCCATAGGGAGCTCCACCGAAGGCCCCAGTGGGGGTGTTCGCATGCGGTTCCCTTACCCAGGGCAGCGTTTCGGGGCCCCATGGGGAGCTCCACCGAAAGCCCCCGTGGCTGCTCTCGCATGCGGTTCCCCCACCCAGGGCAGCGTTTCGTGGCCCCATAGGGAGCTCCACCGAAGGCCCCAGTGGGGGTGTTCGCATGCGGTTCCCCCACCCAGGGCAGCGTTTCGTGTCCACATAGGGAGCTCCACCGAAGGCCCCAGTGGGGGTGTTCGCATGCGGTTCCCCCACCCAGGGCAGCGTTTCGTGGCCCCATAGGGAGCTCCACCGAAGGCCCCAGTGGGGGTGTTCGCATGCGGTTCCCCACCCAGGGCAGCGTTTCGTGGCCCCATAGGGAGCTCCACCGAAGGCCCCAGTGGGGGTGTTCGCATGCGGTTCCCCCACCCTGGGCAGCGTTTCGTGGCCCCATAGGGAGCTCCACCGAAGGCCCCAGTGGGGGTGTTCGCATGCGGTTCCCCCACCCAGGGCAGCGTTTCGTGGCACCATAGGGAGCTCCACCGAAGGCCCCAGTGGCGCAGTTCGCATGCGGTTCCCCCACCCAGGGCAGCGTTTCGTAGCCCCATAGGGAGCTCCACCGAAGGCCCGCCCCGGTGGCGCAGTCCGCATGCGGTTCCCCCTATCCTAGGCAGCGCTTCGTGGCCCCATATGGAGCCCCACCGAAAGCGGCACCCACAACGCGTTACCAACAATTGCTTATGGTTGGGTCTTTCGCCAGGATTTTTTTTTTTTTTTTTTGGGTTGGTTTAGATTAGATATATATATATATTTTTTAGTATATAATAAAAAAAAAAAAATAAAAAAAAAAAAAAAAAAAAAAAAAAAGGGGGGGGTCGTGGGGCCCTATTGGGGCTCGTTTGAGGTTTCTGGGGTGCTTCTTGGGGCCGTGTGGAGACACTTTGCTCACCCAGAGGTTGGTCTTAAAATTAGCGTACATTCCCCTCCCCGTCGGAAACCAAACGCAGGCGCATTGGGGTCATCTTGGGCCGCTTTTGGGGCACCCCTGGGCGCTATTGGGGTCGTCGAGGGGCCCTCTTGGGCCTCTCTTGGGGCTGTGTTGCGCCACCCTGGAGCCATCTTGACGCCTCAAGAGCCAATCGGACGCGAACAAAAACGAAAAGGCAAACCACTTTGATTTTCCTTAAGCCTTGAAACCATGTTGGTCGCTTGGGGTGTCTTTGGAGGGCTCGGAAGGCACTTGACACCTTCTTGGGGCCGTGTCAAGGCCTCTTGGGTACGCGTTGGAGGCTATCGTGAGCCATGTTGATGTAGATATTGGGCGATCTCAGAACATTTCGGGCTAGCTAAAGCCCTCTTGAAGCTAGCGTGGACCATGTTTCACGCTCTGACCCCTCGCGGGGGAGCCCGCCTAGAAGCAGTGAGGGGGGGGGGGGGGGTGGGGGGGGCTTACCTCCCGAGCAGGGAAAGGAAGGAGGTTAGAACATGAAGCGCCCTAGACCACCTAGAACATGAAGCGCCCTAGACCACCTACGCCCAGGGGGCTGGTGGGGCAGGCAAGCGCAAAGGAAATACCTGATAGTGCCATGCTGGTGCCCTTTTGATGGGCTTTTTGGAGCTGTCCAGTTGCCTCTCGGAAGCTTCGTGGGCAATATTGGGGTTCTGTTGGACGTGGTGGAGCGGTCTCGGGCAATCTCGGAGGCCTCGGGCCTGGGCGGTTGTGGGCCCCGCCCTTCTCTCGGCCATTCTCGGTGCCATTCGGCCTCTTGAATATCCGTGCGGCCGAGCCCGCGAGCGCGCGGGCGCGCGCGGAAACAGTTCACCAGCCTGCTGGGCGTATGGTTTAGAGAGTTCGGTACTCTATGTTCCAAGCCATGTTAATCCTATCCCTGCACCCCCCTGGGTTTCGCAACAACCCATGCGATGCCCCGCAGAAATAAATGCAAACATTTCGCGCGGACCTTGCGCTGCCCTGCGATACCTTGCAAACCGACCCTACAATACCCCGCAAAGCAGACACCAACATCACATTGCAAAACGACCGTGTCTATACATCCGAAATCCGACAATGTCATGGAAACTGCCTTGCGACGCCTTGCAATGGCTCTGACGCCCCACCAACTTGCTGGGTACATGCTCGTCATGATGGTATCGCGTCCCTGGCGGCCTCTCGGGGTGCTCTCGAGGCTGCGACGCAGCCTCGAGGGCCCCGAGAGCGGGGGTAATAAAGGGTCGCAAGAATCTCCTAAGGGGGCCCAGGAAGGTTCCAACAGTGGCACCAAGATGCGCCCCTGCTGCCAACGCCGAGGACCGCCATTGGCAGCAAGGTGGCGCTCTGGGCGCTCCACTCACCCCCTCCCCCCACCCCCCTCCCTCTAGGCCAACCTTGGTGCATATTTTGGCACCGTTTCAAGGGCGTTCCCAAGATGGGCACCCTGCTGTCGAGGACGAGGGCCGCGATATTGGCATCAAGACGGCCATCTTGATGCCCTTCGGGGCCGCCCTAAGGCCTTCCTGGGATCTCCTCGGGACCCTCTCGGGCCCCATCTCAGGAGCCAATGTGGGCTATGAAGGAGCCTTCAGGGGGCGCCGAGAGGGCCGCGGGATGAACCCCCTGCTGTCCAGGACAACGGCCGCCCTCTTGACAGCAAAAGGGTATTATTCGGGCCCCTCTCAAGGCCCTCCTGGGCAAATCCTGGTGCCCGCTTGGTGACTTTTAGGGGCGTTCCCGCGGCTTCTGTGCGGCCCCGACAAGACCGCCTCGTTCTGAACGAAGGTCGCCCTCTTGACGGCAAGCTGGCTCTCTTAAGGTCCTCTCGGGGCCGTCTTGGGGCCCTCCTGGGGCCACTTGGGGCCATTTCAAGGCTCCTCTAGGGAGCCCCGTCAGGGCAATCGCGGGCCCCTCTTGAGCCCCCTCGCGTGGTGTTTGTCTGTTGCGCGACGCGCTGCTGCGCGGGATGCTACAGCGGCTATCTTGCCAAAGCATCGGGTGTTCTAAACCACGCAGACAAACTTGATAATACACGCGGCACATACATACTTTTCAGCCCATGCAATACATACGCTACACACATGCACGACACTAGCACACGACACTACACGATTCCACCGCACGCATGAATCACACGAATGCATCATACCAATACACCGCGCGGATACGCTATCCCACACTGCGTGACACTTAATTAATGCCCGATGTTTACTGCGCCATTATTAACGCGCGACCTTTAATGCGCGCGACACGTCTACGCTGATGCACGACGCTGACACGTCATACGAATACACAGCGCAAATGCGTTACCCCATACTAGCACACTTTACGTTACATTCAGCGCGCGGCATGTCATGCGCATTACTTAATGCGCGAAAATACGTGGCCACTAAAGTGTAACCCTTACTTCACGACATTTGGTACCCTACAGTTCATGCGCGGTTATGCGCGACCCTGCGCAACAGCTGATACGCGACATCTTATGCACGAGCTGTACAGCACGACGCTTTACTCATAGTCCAGGCTTGAGACACGACGCTGTATGCATGCACAACACTCAACCAAACTTGACACGCTGCACTTAATACACACGACTTTGCAAGGCTCAATGCACGACGAATCGCATGTGGCAATGGGTGTACGTCGTTCAGTACGCACCATCTAATATACGCAACGGTTTAAACGCGACGCTTTACACACGGCATGCTGCAAACGACACTTCGCACACGGCATTTTAATACACAACATGCAAGACGCGACACGCAAGTTACGACATTTAACAACACCACACAAATGGCACGATGCATACTTAGGATGCGACACTTTATACATAACAAATGATACACTAGATTTCATATACGGTGGTTAATACATCAGACTTCGTACCGTAGAGTTAATAACACATTACATGTAATGCACGTCACCAAATGTGCGACACGTAAGATGCTACTCGACATGCGCTACACTGAATATATGGCACAACATGTACCACACTACCTATATTTCCCGAAATTTATCAATCTAGAGAGACTTCTCAATCTGCTACACCAAACGGGTTGCCACTCAAGGCGCTAAACGAATGCGCGACTCTAATGACTCTATACTGATACTGGTACACTCTTCTGGCACACCATACCAACACACCATACTAATACAGCGCAAGGCCCACTACACTAGTACACTACATTCATACACTCGGCTAATACACTGCACGCATACACTACGCCAACACAACCTCCAATACTTTACCGTTACACCATACTTAATATCCGACGCAAAATACACGACACGGAAAACGCAAAGTTGAATACGCAACACTTACCACACGATATTTAGTACACGACACTGGGACCGTCTTGGGGCTCTCTGGGCCCTCTCTTGGGGCTCGCTTTGGCTACCTATAGGCAACCCTGAGGTCTCGGGAAGCCACCGGAAGCGAAAAGGTGGGACGACAATTGATATTGATGCCCATCAAGTGTTTGATTGGTTTTGACATATTTGGTGTTTCCTTTGGGAAGCCCCGTGGCTTCACGGTTATCTTGGGCTCTCTGAAGACCTCTTGGAACCGTGCAACACAACGTAGTGCATTTGATGCTGTATTATGCAGTGAATTGGCGTAGTACGTCGGTATAGCAAATCCGCGGGGAGTTGTTGTGTAATGTATCATTGTAGCGTCCTCGTGTAGCGTACTGGCGTAGTGCATTAACGAAGTGCACTAGCGGAGCGTACTAGCGTAGTCTAATTGGTGCAGTGTGAAATAGTGTGGTGCATGTGTGTGATGTATGCAGGTAGTGTATTAGAGTAGTGTATAAGCGTTGTGCATTCGTGTAGTGTTTCATAGAGGCAGATGTGCGTTTAACGAGCACTCTCAGTCCAAGGCAACTCGCCTGGGCATCTCCTTTAAATGGGCTGGTGAAGGTACGCGAAGCGTCAAGCATGTAGAAAGTTGGGGTCACAGCCTTCATCAGCCTAGAGCACAGGACTCAAGACAGAGAGCACCAGGCGCCTGGATGCAACTCCGTTTCGCGCCTCGAGGCACGGTGGCGGAGTTGGCGTGGGCTTTTTTTTTTTTTTTTTTTTTTTTTTTTTTTTTTTTTTTTTTTTTTTTTTTTTTTTTTTTTTTTTTTTTTTTTCCGGAAGGGTTCAATAGATGACGGGGCGCTGTTTTGGCGTTCGCGGTTTGGTGCCTTTTCTCCCAGGAGTGGGTGCGAAGCATGGTCATGCCTGCGCTTTCTGACGCGTTGCAGCTGTGCTCTACGTTCGTGTACATCGGGCTGACAGAGACTGTCGATTTTTTTCCCATTACACTAGATGGCGCGGTTGCATCTAATGATGACCCAGACGAGCTGCAATTACTCCTGGTAACGCATGTCAGGCAGGCATTTGTGCACTGCAGGCAGCTGGTTGGGCATTCTCTCACTCCTTCAACATTCCCATGGGCGTGGGCGGGTGCTCTGGCAGATTCCGACGAAACGCGGCAGAGGACGATCGACCATGCGCAGCAGGTGTGGGATCTCGTGCTTGTGTTGTTTTTCTTTGTTTTTCTTTGTTTGTTTTTTTTTTTTTTTTCTTTTCTTTTTTTTTTGGTTTTGTTTTTTTTTTTTACTTTTTTTTTTTTTTTTCTTTGTCTTTGCTTTTTTTTTTTTTTTTTTTTTTTTTGTTGTTCTAGAGCGTTCGCAAAGCCCTGTGCACGCGGAACTCGCCAAAACGTTGTTTATCAGAGAAGCAGTTGTTTTTCGAGAGCCGTTCATTATGTTGCAGGCAAGTGGGTATCGCATGACTGACCGCCTGGAGCAATACATACGTTCTCTATTTGAGCATATGGGTAGCAGTCTATCGCTGGAGGCGGCGCGTCTCCTGTTGTTTTTACTGCTGGTTTGCTATTGCGATGGATCCTCCACGCGTGTAGCGCGGGCGCAGCATTATGTGAGCGCACGCTTGCCGTGCGCGTTCTCATGCATGTAGCGTTGTGAGTACACTTGTGCGTTCTATGAGCTTCTGAGCCGTCACATGCCAATGTTTATTCAACACTGTGACGCTCGGTGTACGTATTGTGGCACTCGTGTCATATCGTGGCTGCCTCGTGCATCTATGCGTGGCGTTGTGGGGTGCCGTAGGGGCCCGTTGCGTCGTTCTTGCAATGGGTGCGTCTGTGCGCAAGCGCACGCGCGCGCAATGCCCTCTGCGGTTTGCATGCCCGTCTCTCCCCAGTTGTATTTCAACGACGCGAGGGACAACGAGTCGCGGGCGGCTCGCCACAAGAGCCGCTGCGACGCATCTCTCATGGCTCTAGGGATCGCTACTCTGAAGCACAGGTACCCTCATTCTGCCCACATTGACCTGTCGCCCGAGGATGTCGCGTCCATGTCAGATTCGCTTACACTAGATAAGCATACTTTTGGAGGCCCCACGAATGCAACATCTTTGCTCACCTTTGACGTTGATGAGCTGGTGAACGCTCGTTCTAAATGGAGGTCAACAAGCCCTGGCAAGTTCGAATTGAACCAAGCATTTCTGTTCAAAGTGTTGTTATCCGTTGACAGTGATCATTGGGAGTTTTTGTGGTTGCCCTCGTTGTACAAGGTTCATACAATAGTGTCGGACTCCGAACTGAACTACTACTACATCCTTCAAGTGGCGCCGAAGGGCTTGTTATTGTTGGAGATGGTCGAAGAGTCCGAAGGCATACTGAGGTTTGGTTTCGGCCCTGAGCGGGTCAAGGTAACAGCTCCGCCATCGGTTGACTATTTCATCTGTTGGGACGTCGAACTTGGCTTTCACGTAGAAGGCGATGAATCCAGGGTTCGTTTCCGCGTGGGGGAGGCACTTGGTGTGCTCCGATACGCAATTCGCAATTATTTTTCGCTCTGGCCTGCACCGCTGCTCAAAAGCATTGCAAAACACTTGCTAGATATAAAGGTGCCCAGTGGGGCGTCGCACATCGACGTGGCAACGTCGGTTGTCAATGCCAGTGGCGCTACAGAGCCAGAGAGACAGGCAGCCATATCAGCAGTGAAAGCATTGATCGAGAAAAGGTGCCAGAGGAGAGCGGAAAAGCTCAGACAGCCAGACGATGGGGACGCACGTGATCAAGACGATGTAGACAGCGATGCCTCTGACCCTGGTTTGCACGACGGAGTTGTAACCGAACAGCTTCGAGCAGAAACGCGCCCCGAATTGGTTGCACTGGCCAGCAAGGAGGTTGATTATCTACTCGGGGCTTGCCCCGCGGGGCAGGCGCTGGGCGAGGAAGAGGATGACCGCGGTGTCGAGCAGCTGAAGCTGCATGCCGACGCGAAGGTTGCATCTCGCCCGCCGAGGAGAGTGCGAAAGAAGAGCCCGCCCGTGAGCAGCCAAGCTAGCAAGCGCCCTCGAGCGCCCTCACCGTCTCCGCCGAGCCCCTTCCTGTCACCAGTGAAGGGCGTGTGTGGACAGTCGCCGCCTGGGGGCATTTTTAGTCCCAACGGTGACCAGGGGCAGGTCCGCCACCCTACGCTCCTAACCTCTGACGAGGAAAACTCGGACGGCCCAGTGTTCATTCCTTGGGATCAATCTGCCGATTGTCTAGGGGTTGGCCCGCCTGCGTTGCCCGACCCGCCTGCTTCTCCAGAGTTGGCGATGCCAGTGGCGGGATCTGGCCCTGGCCCTGAGCCGCCAGTTTCACCAAGTGTGTCAGCCCCTCCAGGGCCAGACACTCCACCCGAGCCAGCTGCCAGCGTTGCCGTTGGCGCTCGCGCTCACGATTTCAGCCGCGTTCCGCTGACGTGTCAATTTTGTTTGGTCGAGCCGCTGATGCGCTCGCCCTACTGGGTTGCAAAGCTACCGCATGGCCTCGAATACAGGGGCAGCAAGTCGCATTCAGCGACGTTTGGCAGGATGCGGTCGGAGGAACAAGCGAAGCTACAAGTTTACACGTGGCTGCAGGAGGCAATAGCGCACCATGGTTTATAATATATCATGTTTCTCTTTGATGCTTGCATGCTGGCAGTCGGCATCGATGCATTGAGACTGTACTGTGTGCGGTAACTTTCCTTGCGCATGCAAAGCCGCCTTGCCGTATAGAAAATGGCATGCGGCCCATCCCGCCACCGCGTCTGGGTTGTGGGCCAGGCGGCTGCTGAATGCTCGTTGGGGTCTCGGGGTGGACTTCTCGGGTGTCTCTTGGGAGCAGTTTTGAAGCGTCTTGGGGGCAGTGTTGGTGCCTCATGTGGCATCTTGTGGGCGTCTTGGGTTGGTGTGTCTGCCTCGCGGGGGTCTCTTAGAGCCTCTTGAGTGCCTCATGGGGGCTTCGTGGGGGGCATCTTGGGGCATCCTTGCGTTTGGGCGTCGCGGCGCTTCGCGTGCCCTCGCCAGCCCATCCAGACAACATGCTTAGCCGAGGTGCGTTGATCATGGCCGTGCAGCATAATGCAGCGCACCATCGTGCATCGCAACAGCGATGCCGCCAAGATAGGCCCACGCGTGCCCCAATGAAGATCCCGAAACGCGCCTTAAACGGGCACCAAAAAGGCCCCAATCGGCCCCCGATGCTTCCCGACAGCGATCGCCCCCCCCCCCCCCCCCTCGTTCGCCCATTGGCCATGGGGCCCTTGCGGTGCCTTGCTGAGCCCCTTCCAGAGGTGGTCTCTAGGCGTTCTTGGGGCCTTCGTGGGATCGTCTAAGGCCCTCTCGGGCCTTGGGCGGGTTGCAAGAACCTGCCGTCACCCCCTTTACCCCCATTTCTTCCAACCCCTGCCGCGCCACCTCCCATCATACCTCGTCGCCTCGCTTCCCGCCGACCCTCATATCGCTACGTGCGCATCCCTTCTGCTCCATCGACCTCCCTTGCTCTCTCGCCGTCCCCGCGCCCTTCTACCCGTCACCTCCTCCCGCAGCCCTCCTTCCCCTCACCCCTCATCCCCGCGCTCTTCCCGCGCCCGAACCCCGTCCCGCCCACGTCCACCAATCGCCCGCTCCTGTCTCCCGCACCCACTCAAACCCCCCCCCCTCTACCCCCCTCCACCCCCGCCACCCCCGCCGCCCGAAGATGGCGCTCGCAGCCCCAAGGGGCACTAATCAAATTTCAAGAGGGCCCAGAATGGGCACCGAGAGGGGCGCAAGCGGGCCCCAAGCGGGCTCGCATAGACCCCGATTGCAATGTGCAAGTTGCCGCTCCTCCCCATGATACTGTGGGCCGTCTTTGGTGCGGTTTGTCTCGGGCCCGCCATTCACCGTGGGTGGCCTCCCTCCTTGCGGCCTCGTTTTGGTGTGCTGTTTTAGTGTATCCGTGCAGCTTTCCGCAATGCACCTCGGAGTTTTCGATGGGTCCTTCCCAGCGCCTCGAATGTCACCGAACGCACGGCCCTACACAGCCCGCCCTCCGCCGCCCCTCCCCCCCCCACTCGCGGCCCCCGTTCCCCCCGCGCCCTCTCCCCCCCCCCCCCCGATATTTTAGAGAGGGGAGAAGCACATTATTGATATATACGCGGGAGGCAGTTGGGGTTGCAAGGTCGTTGCAGGGCGTTGCAAGGCCCTGCGCAGCCACGCGCGCAGTATTGCATGGCTTCGCATGGCGGCGCGCCGCTTTTTGCATTGAGTTGCATGGTACCGCGGGTGTCTGCATCGCAGGGTGTTGAAGGGCATTGCGGGGTCGCGTTGCAACGCGTCGCAGCGTAGCGTGGCGTGCGCGAGGGGGTGTCGCACCCTACGTCACAAGGTCGTGCGGGTGTTTTTGGCGAAACGCAGTGGATATAGTAGCGACTATGGTTGTTAATGGAAATTGTAAGATAAATCGCAAGCGACACGGGGGGCGGCACCGCCGCCGATCCCCGCCCACACCCCAGGAAGCAAGGCCGCCCCGCGAGGGCGGGGAGGGCCGCACCCTAAACATTTTATGTTTCACCGCGTTTCACCATGGCAACATCTGGGTTGCTGTGTTCCCGCCTTTGAAGGGGTTTTCGTTCTCGAGGTTGAGGACATGGCGGCGTTGCGTGCCAGAGTGCGGCCGTTTCTGCGCCCGATATGTTTCATTCTATGCGCTTCAAAAAACGAAAAAGCGAGAAGGCCATCGGAAAGCGAAAAGGCGAGAAGCCAACAATCACAAGTTTCTTTTCTAGGTTTTGGAATGATTTTGGCATCTTGGAGGCCTCCTTGGGGGGCTATCTGGCATCATGGAGCCGTCTTGGGGCGGTCTTGGGGCCTCTTGGAGCATCTTCGGGGCCATCTTGAGGCATCTTCAGCTATCTTGAGCCATCTTGGAGCTCGTCTTGGGCTCTCCGAGGCGCTCTTGGAGCCGTCTTGGGCCACGTTGAGCGCCCCAGCGGTGCCCCCCCCCCCCCCCCCCCCCCCGCCACCCCCCCCTTCCCCCCCTCCCCCCCTCCACACACACGCACACGCGCATCTCCCAGTGGGAACCCTTGTCTTCTTTTGATGTGCACCTATCTTGCGGCATTTGCAGTTGCGCATGGTTGTCGCATTCGACAGGGTTGCTCGTTCTTACTTCAATAGTGTCGCATTGGGCGCGCCTTGTGCGCGGCTTCCGCCAAATGCATTCGCATATGCACTTTATGCGACGCATGCACTGAACTTCGGTGAACGTCGGCGTTGCTCGTGTTCTTGCGTCGCGGCCTCCGACAGCCAACTCGGAATCGTGAAATCATCTCGTTTGGGCGCGCAATTCGCGCACGCGCCCCCATCCCCCAACACCAAAAAAATCTAAGCAAAATGAGCTTTCCCATTCAATTATGAGCATTTTCAATTATGTAGTAGACCCTCTACTCGACATCCGCATACCCGTGCCCTACCCCCCTCCACAATTATTCCATATGACTACTACTCTTCTCTCTCCCCTGGTGACGTCCGGGAAATGTCTGGCCCCCCTTCCGCGTAACACGTAGCACCCCGTAATTGCGGATAAGAGTGAGGGGGCGGGCGCGGGCGTTGCGGGCATCGAGGTTGCGGATTTCGTGGCCCTCACTTTCCTTGTCGCTGGCGCTCCTCCTCCTCCTCCTCCTCCTCCTCCTCCTAGTCCCTCTGCTTCTATTCCTCCTCGTCCTTGCCCTAGTCCCCCCTCCCCCTTCCCTCCCTCCTCCCTCAGCCGCCCTCCTCCTCCTTCTCCTCCAGATGGTCGCGGATGGTCGCGGGGTCGGTCGCGGGTCGGGGGCTAGCGAAAACAAACCAGCCCGCCTTGCGCGCCGATTTGAAATTGCAACGTGCGCGGGGTGGTCGCGGTGGGTCGCGGGGTCGGTCGCGGGTCGGGGGTCGTGAGTAAACGCAAAACAGCCCGCCGCATGCGCCGAATTTGAAATTGCAACGTGCGTGGGGTGGTCGCGGATGATCACGGGCGGGTCGCGGATGGTCGGTCGGGGGTCGTGAGCAAACGCAAAACAGCCCGCCGCAGGCGCCGATTTTGAAATTGCAATGTGCGCGGGGTGGTCGCGGTGGGTCGCGGGGTCGGTCGCGGGGTGGGTCGCGGGTCGGGGGTCGCGAGCAAACGCAAAACAGCCCGCCGCAGGCGCCGATTTTGAAATTGCAACGTGCGCGGGGTGGTCGCGGTGGGTCGCGGGTGGGTCGCGGGGTCGGTCGCGGGTCGGGGGTCGCGAGCGAATGCAAAACCGCCCGCCGCAGGCGCCGATTTTTAAAATTGCAATGTGCGCGGGGTGGATCGCGGGTGGATCGCGGGTGGGTCGCGGGGTGGGTCGCGGGTCGGTCGCAGGTGGGTTACGCAGCGGGGCGTGAAGTGGGTCGCGGTCGCGGGGTCGCGGAGTGGGTCGCGGGTGGGTCGTGGGTGGGTCGCGGGGTGGGTCGCGGGTGGGTCGTGGGGTGGGTCGCGGGGTGGGTCGCGGGGTGGGTCGCGGGTGGGCCGCGAGGCGGGCCATGGGGGGACGGCGCCAAACAAACAAACAAACAAACAAACAACAAACAACAAACACCAAACACCAAACACCAAACAACAAACAACAAACAACAAGCTACAAACAACAAACAACAAACAACAAAAACAACAACCACAACAACAACAACAACCACAACAACAACAACAACAACAAAGACAACAACAACAGCAACAACCAACAACAACCAACAACAACCAACAACAACAACAACAACAACAACAACAACAACAATTACTAGCACGTGGGGACACTCCGTTCTCACCAGTGCCAGGGTTTTCATACGACGCCCGCCAATGCCCCCACTTTGTGGGGGGCCGGTTCAAGCTCTACCACATTTCCAAACGACTCTTCGCCACCACCCACACCCAGCTTCCCGCCCTATGACGTTCGGACACTTCACTTCGTGGCCTGCGGACGACCGTGGCTACTACACTGGCGCATGGGTACAGTGACTTGTTGTGGTAACATTTTCTGGACGCTAGCTTAGTATACGACTTTTCCCCCTGTTCCAACACTGGACACCTGTACTGGTTTTTGGTGGTAACGTGTTCCTGACGCTAGAATAGGAAACCACGGTAAACCAGTACGACGCCGGTACTGTCTGTAGGTCCTACAATGATATGGACTGCTTTGGCTGGTGAGGCGCTAGCGTCTGATACGACGTTTTTCCGTTTTGTCGAAGACATGTTTTTCGAGGACCTACGGTGCGATTCGTATGATTTTATGTTGCGCGGTGCTAAAATTCCTAAGAAACCCAATGGTTTTTGAAGATTTCGGCGTGCGCGCGCGAAGAAAAAACGAATGTGTCCCGCATGGTATTATTTGACAGGGATGATGGCCCTGGCAGGTGCGCAACCGTTGTTGGAGAAGTTCGAAGCACGTGAAAAAGTTGCTCGCAAAAGCCCGTTTGACAGAAATGTTTAAAAAGTGTTGGGTTTCCTACGAATCCGCAAGAGCGCGCGGGATGAAATTTTGACACTTTTTTTTTGAAAAACCATTGGTTTTTTGATGTTTTTATGTTAAAATCGTTGCGAACACTAAGGTTTTGGAAGGATTTCGTCTTGCGCGCGCGAATGTCCACTTTACCTTTTTTTTTGCAAGGGATTCTTGAAGTTTGGTTATGTTAGAACAAGAAATGTCCACTTTGCCTCATTTTTTGCAAGGGAAAACCGCCCGTAACAAAACAACCGGATCCGGACCAACCCGTTTTGCCGGAGACTTCCTCACGAAAATGATGAAAACATGGCTGCGGCCTAGGCGCGGCGAGGGGGCCGTGCACCAGGGGTCCCAACAATAATTATTCTTTAGAAGTAATAATGTTCAACAACAATCACAACAACAGCAACAACAACAAGAATCCGCATCGCGGAATTCCACTTCAGCCACGCACCCAGGGACACTGAATGACCGTTCGGCCCCCTCACTCTGACTTGTTTTTTACACACAGGATTCCCAGGAGTTGGATTTTCGCTTTGTTTTTCTTTCAAAATGGTGCTGTCGCTGAGGCGTTGGCCTCATTTTCGGGCTACCGCTCGTTCCGAATCGTGCTCCCGCTGCAGCGATGGCCTCATTTCCGCGCGTCCGCTCGTTCCGAATCGTGCTTTCGTTGCAGCGCTGGCGTCATTATTTCCAATGCCATGCCACGGCACGGTTTTCGGTCCTTCCAAATAAGATCCCACATCTAAAAAGATGCTCCCGAAAAAAACACCCGAAGTGATTACACATTCGGTGCCGATTCGTTGATTTCTGTGGCCGCAGAACCCCCCCACTTCGGGGCTTCGCCACGCCATGCTATGTCAGGCTACGCGTCCTTCGAATCGCGTTCCCGCTGCAGCGATGGCTTCATTTCCGCGCTTCCGCTCGTTCCGAATCATGCTCCCGTTGCAACGCTGGCGTCATTATTTCCAGTGCCATGCCACGGCATGGTTTTCGGTCCTTCCAAATAGGCCCCCCAATCGAAAAATTGAACCCCCGAAAATACAATTGAAGTGATGGCACATTCGGTGTCGATTCGTCGATTTTGGGGGCCGCAGAAACCCCCCTCCAGAGACCTTAAAAACGACCCGGCTGGAAAGCGCCGATCCGACTTGAACCCGTGAGGGGTCCAAGGGCCCAGTGTGAGCCGAGTGTTCAAGGAAGCCAGACCATCGAGCCTAGCAACCCGCCGAACTATTCCCTGACATCCGTCCTCGCCCGACGCAGCTTCCCCCGCCACCGCCGCCGTCGTCGTCTGCGTCGTTGTCGCCGTCGGCAATTTCTGTGCGTTCCCTGGAGCTTCTGGAAGTCTTCGGGGAGCTCAAGGAGTCTTGGAAGGGGGCTCGGGGAACGCAAGGCTGCCTGGTGGGGGCCTTACGCTAATACAGTACCCCTACCAAACGGCACTTGGCATTTGGAAACGCCCACATCGGGCAGGCACGGTTGCCCAGGACATGGAACCGGGATTCCGGACAAGCCTTCTCCTTTCGTACACGGACCATGTACCCTTCAAGGCATACGGTACCATGCCATGGCATGCGATGCGATGTTGCGTTGTGTTCCGCTGTGCGATGCCATGTTTTGCGATGTTACGCTGTGTGATGCAATGCTACACTGCGCAATGCTGAGCCAAGCCATGCTATGACATGTTCTGCTCGGCCGCGCTCTTCTACACCATGTTATGTCGTGTTTTACTATGCATCGCAAGCCCTCTCGGGATCATTGCCTTGCACGACATCAACCTGTGAGCATAGAGAGGAGATCTGCGCCGGGTTGGGAGGCAGGGGTTTGACGACAGATATGACGCGAGCGCACCTGGCTTGCCCTCTCCCCTCCCCCCTGCCCCCTCCCCGACCCCTCTCCCCATCCCCCTCCCCGTGCCCCATCCCCCTCCCCGTGCCCCCGCCGCCCCCGCGCGCGCGCCCCGTCCTCCTCGAGAGCCCTGCGCTCCGAGGCGAGCTGCGCCCGCTCGCCCTCGGCCTGCAGCGCCCCCGGCAGCTCGGCGATTTGCGCTGACGCCACCTCCGAGGAGAAGGGGGATCGCACTTCGGGAGGGACAAGGAATCCGCTGGCCCTCCTTGGGGGCGGGCCACCAAGCTGCAAGGCTTCAAGTCCTGCATCCTGCAACCAGTCCTCAGCTCCTCGGCTCCAGTACTGGCTCCTCTTGTTCAAAGTGTCAGAAGTGATAGATCACGGGCCGGCGGTGGAGGTGGCGGCAGAGGGCGAAGCTCTTCAGGCATCAGTGACACGCGCGTCGTCTTTCAAACCGCGCATGCTGCTCACTGCTCATCCGCGTTCAGGGCAAAGCCTCGATGATCCTGCTTTTGCCCGCCGAAAGCGAATGAAATGACACTTAGCTCGAACGACAAACGAACCAACGATGCCGCAAAAAAACACCCAAGAGGCCCCGGATGAGATTCTAGAGGCCCTGTGTCCACGACCCAGGAACGGTGGCGAGATGGTCGCAAAACCTATGGATCCGACGCCGCCGCCGTGTCAACTTTCATCGTTGTCGACCGTCCCAGGAAATTCCTTATGGGCTACGGCCCAACCCGCCATCAACCAGGCGACGTATTTCCAAACGGATTTTCTGCCGAAGGTGGTTCCCAGACGTCCCAAGAGCCCCAAAATGGCCCCAAGACGGCCCGAGAGCGCCCCAAAAGGGCCAAGATGGCTTCAAGGCGGCCCAAAAAACCCACGTGGGCTGAATTGGAGCGGTCGCGGGCTGGCCTTGGAACAAATCAACTGTCTCCCCAACTCTGCGTCCCTCCCTCCTGAAATGCGGTGCGGCCTGGAGTCTGTCTTTCAGCTGGTCCATCTTGGCCCGCGCGCTTTTTGTTTCGCCCTCGAGCTTGGCAATGTCCCTGCTTATCCTCAGCAGAGCGTCGAAGCCCGAGATGGAGGGGGAGCGGAATCGACAGAAAGGGAAGGCGAAATGCGAGGGGACGGGAAAACGGAAGGAAAAGAACAACGAGAAGGGGACGGGGACATTTCGGAAAGGGGGGGGAATCTGGGGCGGGGGGAGGCAGAGGGAGAGGGAAGCGAAATTGGAAAAGGGATTAGCCAGGGAATGACAACAGGAATGGAAAGCGATGGGAGGGCGGCGAGGGGGCGTTGAATTTGCATTGGTGTTCGTCAGCGGCTGTAAGACACCCCTTTCAATGTGTTGCCTCTCCAACGTAATGTTAGGGGAACGTGTCGCAGTATGAACGGGTTGTTATGATCGCTGCCCTGCTTCTTCTCGTAGCTCACGAGAAGCTAGTCTCCCACTAAAAACCGGTGAGTACATAGCTAGGAAAGTCCGTTAATCGGAGTAACTCTAAGCAAAGGTGTTGTGCGTGCGGGCGCGTGCGCGCGTGGCCCGCCCGCCCGGCCGGCCGGCGCGCTTCTGCTCGAGCAACTGCACGCAGCTGCGGAGGCAGTCCCTCCACATGATCCATGCCCCACCAACACTCTGCAAATCGAAAGAGTGGAGGGCAGCAGACACAGGCGACGGAAGTGCTAGCAATGACTTCCCCCGCGGCCACCCGCCGCGACATCGTCGCGCCAGGGCGCAGGTCCGCGCATCGGCGAACACCCCAAGCATAAGAAGCGGGACGCGCCGAAAAACCCGCAGCAAGGGCCACTTTGGGCCCCCCGCCGCGCCAACCCATCACGCTTTTTTACGGGGCGGGCGGCAGGGTAGGGGGCGCTCCAGTCACCGCTCTGTAGAACAAGTCGAGGGCCCCCCGACGCGCCCACCCCGGAATAGCATTCGAGGCGCGCGCCCCAAGCCATCTGCTCACCAAGCCACCAGCCCGCCGACGACCTCAGCGCGCCCGCGGTGTATACTCGCGCTCTGAAGCAACCGGGTCAGACTGAGACGCCGCCCCAGCCAATCGTTCACGCCCGCCGCCTGGGCGATTGTTCTTCCACCATTTGTCGCCGCAGCGGACATCGCGACAGGCGCCAAAAACCCGATTGCCGCGCGGAGCCTGCCAACCAGCCAGCCCAGCTTGAAGAGAGCGACCAGGATGCCCAGTGATTACCTGCGTCTGCGCGCCAGCGGGCTAGCGAAGACGCCGGTTCGCCCTGCCGCCGCTGGCCACGGTCGCGACGCCATGGCGCAGAGGACTCCATCGCGGCCACCTCGTTGGCCAGCGCCATCGGCGCGGGCGGCGCGGGCGTCGGTCTCGGGGGGCATTGCTAGCCCGATCTTTGTCAAACGGCGCGCTCCTCGTCGGCCGCGGCTCTACCCTCTGCCGCGGGGGCGCCCCGGGCGTGGTGCGCCAGTCTCTCTCAGGAGATCCGTTTCTCGTGAGAGGGCCACTCTGCCCGAGCGCCCGCAGCGGCGCGCTCTGCCCCAGCGCCCACTTCGCAGGCCCCCCCGCCAGAAGGCGCACGGTAGAAGCTTGGCCCCGCGGGTCATAGCTGCTGCCGCGCTTCTGAGCGCACGATGTCTCGCCGCCACGTGCGACGGCTGCATCTTCCTTGCCTTCGCCATCTTGGTCGACTGTCTCTAGTGGCCCCCATTTGTCTTTGAAGCGGAGATCCTTCAGGTGCTCGAGCGTAGGAAGATGGCGCCCATGACCATCTCCTCGCCGCCAGACGCCCCACCCGTTTGCCTGCTCGAGCGCCTCTCTATCGGACATTCTGTGCTTGTCCCAAGTGAAGGGCCCCCAGAATCCAAAATGCCAGCCATCGGCCCGCGCGTGGAAACTCAGAGACGGCCGCCAATCTTCAACAGGGGCGACGGCAGCCAGCCCGACGGCTCGAGTTCCCAGATGCTGTTGAAAATTGGTCCAGCGATGACCCAGCAACTGGGCCTTGCTCTGAAGCCACGCATGGACTTGAGCCGGCGAGGCGTCCTCTTCCGATGTGGGCCACCACGCAAGCACAGTCATGGCATGAAGCGAGAACGCAAGTCTTGCCTTGGAGAGCCACTGTGCATCGATGTTCTGTCATCTTTGGATCTCTCCACATTTGTCACTTGGATATGTTCTTGTCAGCGGTGCGGCCACGCGCAAATGTCTGCGGCCTCGCAATCGACGCAAGAACGCTGTTCCCGGCGCCAGGGTCGATTCCATGTGCAAGAACTTCCTGAGACCCAGCGTCTCCGACGGAACTGCAGGGCGAAGAGCACTTGGCACCCCTAGCCTTGGTTCATATACTATGGGCTGCAAGCAGCACAAGCAGCTGATCACGCCAAGACGATAGCGGCACGCCTTCGAGCGCACAGGACAATTGCCCTCCCCAGGCGGGGGCGAAGTCATCGTGCGCTTGCTTGAAGTCTCTCGAAGCAAGCAGGTCGTCCAGGTCCCCAGACATGACGAACTCCCCCATGTGCTTAACGTAATCCATGCAACCGCAATCCTGCAGCGGAATGATCCAGATCCCACCGAAACTCTGGTCAAACAACGCCGTCCACGACGCTGTCGGGGCGGGCGCGTTGCGTGCGCCATCAGGCACCACCCAAAACGTTGCGTTGTCAACAATGCGCGGAGAGACGATCGCCACGCACTGGCCAGACAGCTTTTCTGGGTTGTCTACGTCGAACACCCACGCATTCAAGTTATCGGCAGAGAGCGCTCTTGGCCATCCATCCGGGCGAAGCCACCGCGGGAACTTGGTCGCTGCATTATGCAATGTTATCTCCCCTGCGCCACGGAGGTTCCGCCGCGCGCTTTGTCATCCGCTGTCTCCACCGCCCTCATTGAGTGCCCCTGTGATGCACGAAAGACAATGGGTCTCGCGCGAAGTGGCCCTATGTCTGCCCCATATATCGCGCCTCCGTCACGAGACAGCGCCCGCCTGCAGCTTTCTCTCGAATATTTCGGGCACCCCACCGCCGGCTCGTCATTCCCAACCAATGTGACACCTGACACTTGGATCGACTTGTTCGGCGGGGTGATAAGGGCATGCATCAAACTGGGCCAAGGGCGATCAAAACCCTCTTCCATCAACTGATCAACAACTCGCGCCACCTTGACCCATCCACCAGAGCTGCAATCATCGGAAGCACTAAGTTTTGCCAGTTCCACAATCAAGGATCCCAGCCGAGCAGCCTCTTCCTCGCTCGCCCCGCTGAAAACTGCGCAAAACCGGCTGTCTGACGATGGGATAACGGGCAGCAGTTGGCGCGGGCCCGTCGGGTGATCGCGAGGCTCAGTCGAGCCATGGCGAGCGGAGGAACGCGTCTGCACCCTCTCGTTGCTCTGCGACCAGGCCACGAAGCAACTCCAGCGCAGCGTCCCCGGAGAAGCCAGCCTCTAAGCCCCGATCCAGGCATGGAGACCTTCGCGGATTGTCAGGGAACGGGCCAGCAGCATGGGCTGCCTCCATTTTCCTTGCGAGTCCAGACTCTGCCACCGGGAGGCCCGCTTCCTCGTCGCCCAGCGAGGGGGCCGAAGGCGACTGGGTCTCCCGGGGATACTCAGCGCGCTGTAGTACCGCGGAAAAATAATTGCCTTCTCCAACAATTTGGCGCGAAGCGAAGTCTCCGATATCTGTTCACCTTCCGGCGGGCTCGGTGGCGCAGCCAAACGAAGGCATCCCCTGCCAAACACCTTGGGCACCTCTTTGCTCTTCGCAGCGCGTGGGATCTGGTCCGGCGGGGCGCGCCCCATGGGCTCGTCCTGTGACGGCCGCAGCGCGCGATCCACATGCGCCGCGATGCGTCTCCTCTTTCTCTCTCTCTCTCTCTCTTTCTCTCTCTCTCTCTCTCTTTCTCTCTCTCTCTCTCTCTCTCTTTCTCTATCGTTCTTTATTTATTTATCTCTCTCTCTACCTCTCTCTTTCTCTGCCTATATATATATATGTATGTGTTCTTTTTTTATTGCCGCGTCATCTTCTGCACGACGCGGGCTTTCGTCTTTCTCGCCCTCAGGCTTCTCTCCATCGGGTTCCAATTCCTGTGGGGGAGCGCCCGCTCTTGGAGTGTGCATGCGGGCCGTTTCGCCATGCCCTTCTCCTGGCGGTCTGTCTCGGCCTCCATCGGGGGTCTTCATATCTGACCTCGTCTTCCCCTCCAATCTGCGTCGGGATTTAAGCCCGGCGCTGAGGGGGGAGATCGAGGTGATAAGTTCTCGGTTTTGATGACTGGCCTGGTGGCTTTTTCCATCCCGTCCTGGCTGCGCGGAGAGACATCATCGCCCGACCACTCGGATGCGCTGTCTGCGAAAGAGGCTTCGCCATCATCATGAGACGGAGCTTGCCTTCCCTGTGCCTCTTGGCGAATTGATGCGGGATCGATATCCTCTCGGCGCCCCGCCTCTCAAAAGCCTTCCGTTCCTCTTCATTCATGCTAGCGCTATTCTGCAATGACGCCGCATTTGCCAAGTGCGAATCGGCTCTCTGCTGAGGCGCGCACGTGTCAATCTGGACTGCAATTGCCTTGCCGCGCTTCTCGCGCACCACCGCCGGCGGGGTAACTTGCCCGCGTCTCAGTCGATGGCGCGACGCAGAAGCAATCCCACATCGGGCAAATGTCGAGATGGATTGTGTGCGACATGAACATCGAAGCAACCCTCCTTGCCTGGGCCAGAGTTCGCATGCTGCAGCCTTGCAATGGCCACGTCTTCAATGGGCATTGGTTGGCAAGTCGGCGCGTTCGTCCTAGGGTCCACAGGTTGATCTTCCATCATGGCATAGACAAGATCTTCGGCATTCGCAAAATACCTGGGCTCGAACCCGACCGTGACAAGCGCCCCCTGTTCCAGCCCCCGGCCCCAGTCCCAGCCCCGCTGCCCGTTTCCGGCCCCGACCGCAACTGGCCCCAGCCCCGGCCCCGGCCCGTCCAGCCCCAGCCCCGACTCCTGATATCGGTCGGCGCTCTTGCGCCACATGCAGTTATACAAATATACGTGCATTCGCTCAAAGGCTGATCAGGTAGCGT